CTGGATTTCTTTGCAGTAGGCGCATTGGTCTGGGTGCAGGACGGGCCTGTTGTTGGTTTCCCCTCTATGTGGTGGGTGGGCTTGTGGGTAGGGTCTTATTTCTCAAGCGTAGCTGCAAGGAGTGAGACTTTTTTTTCTTTTCTGCCTCATTTTGGGCTTCACGTTCTTGGTTAGCAAAGACCTTTGTTGCCACCTCAAGCAGCTCCAGAAGGTGTTCATGCTGGAGACTCCCTTGAGCTTTTAGAGTTTGCAGTGGATGTCAGGAGCAGGCTGGGCCACAAAAGCAGCATCGACCATGCACTGATTTTCAGCAGTCTTAAGAGTGAACAGGGTGAGGATGTGGAACGCCTCATGGTCACTCATCGAAGTCACTGGGTGATTCTGTCTGTCTTCTGTGGCACGGAAGCAGTCTTGGACTTGTTACTTGGCTTTTTGGCAGCAGCACAGACCCCTTGGAGATGGCCCTGAGGTGTCTTTCGAGGGCCTCTTGTCCCCTTGTAGTGTGAAAGTCCCGTTGCGGCCTGGTCTCGGGAACCATCTCTTGGCCCAATCTGCTGGCTCTTGGCTGGTGGGCACCAGACCCTGGGGTCTCAGCAGTGATTCTTCACCTCTCTTCTGTGTTGAGCAGGGTGTAGAGCACTGGCGGCAGTCACCCCACTGGGCAGGTGGGTCTGGAAGCCGGACTCCACGAGACCAGTGAGGGCCTGGGCTTCTCAGAGTGTGAGGCAGTGTGTCGTTCGTTCCCAGCTCAGATCAGCTGCGGTGAAGTGCTGCTGGTAGAGGGTGGTAGCAGAGCCTGGGCTGGACGGCATCATTGTCCAGGATGCGGGGTGGAGGTTGGGTCTCACGGACCGGCAGCTGGATACCTGGGGCTGAGCCGACTGCAGACACCTGAAGAGAGGCATCTCAGGAGAAGCATCTCGCGTGGGATGGTGGAGGGGTTGGAGGATAGAGCCAGGAGAGGCAGATAAAGAAGAGGCCGGGCCGGAGGTGGTGGAGAGGGCCCGTCAGGGGACTTGGAAGTGGACTGGCTGCTTGAGCCGGTGGCGGTGGGATGGCGGGCGGGGCCGGAGTGCGGGGTTGAAGGCTGGGAGCTCTCAGGAAGAACAGGAGCCAGTGGAGGAGCTGCAGACAGCGGCTTAAGGAGAGGAGGCAGCAGCAGAGGATGCTCTTCTGGTGGACCCTGTGGAATCCGTGTTTTCGGGGTCTTGAGGGGCTGGCCGCCACTTTGGGCTACAAAAACCTGACTCTGTTCCTTCTTACTAATGCAGAATCGGACCCAGGCTGGTAGGGTCTGAGCAACCTCGGCCAAGAATGGATGAAGGGAACGGGTCGGGGTGGCCTGGCTTGTCGCTCAGACTGCGCTCACCATCTGGACATCCAGTTCCTTCAGGGGCCGCCCTATTTCACAGAAATCCGCAACTCGTGGGCTTTAGTTTAACTCCACATCCCCCGCTAAATCCCTTCTTAAAAGTTTTGAGGCTGGGGATTTAGCTCAGTGGCACAGCACCTGCCTTGCAAGTTTAAGGTCCTGACTTCTATCAAAGAAGTCATGGTATTGAAAAAAAAAAAGTTTCGACCATGCAGTCAGGACAGTGAGTTTACTATGGTTATTACCCTTGGTTTATGTAATGCCTTTGAGTGCCAGAGGAAGGATGGGTGTCCCCCAAAGGAGACCGCTCAGGCACCTGCCTGGGCACATCCCTCGTGGGAGGTTAGGCTATGGTGCACTCATAATCCCGAGCCTCGTCAACCTCCTGTTATGGGAGGTGAGTCACCATTATGTCACCTGACATCATCACAGAACCGCAGGGTGGGACCCAATCAGACTCCTTAGCCAAAGCTGGGGAGCTGCACAGACCAGCGGTGGCACACATCAGACCGGTAATCAGTCCTCCAGGGGTTAAAGCCTGCCTGCCTGCCTGCCTGCCTTTCTTCCTTTGGGAAGTGCCTGACTGAAGTCTCTGACCTGAGACTGTGGAAGGTGATCAGCATCTCCTTCTGTCCACTGCGACAGGCCTGACTGAGTCTGAACTGGACTCTGGGGCTTTACCTTATCCAGAAGTCCTGAAGGGTTTTTCTTTTTTTAAGTCTACCTCTTTTCCTGAGTCTGGTCAGGAGAAGCAAGCACAGTCATTAGTCACCCCCTACCTGAAGGAGGAGCTGCCAAGTGGTGGAGGTGAGCCATCTCCTTCTTTGGAGAGGGCTTCTGGTGGCTGCTCTCTGACTCTGAACTGGTGGCTCAAACGGCCGGCACAATGGGATTCCTGGTCCGGGAACCAGACGTTGGGCACAGTGAGATAGCTCAGCTACAGTGATTTGAAGACTCGGGAATCTGAAAGCCACTTGAAGAAGTGGAAGAAAACTAGCTTTATTATGCCGGCTGGCTCAGAGGAGTTTAAGCGCCCTCAATTCTGAGCCATGAGTTGCCCTGAGAGTGAGTTTATATACCACCCAGGAAAGGAAGTTGAGAGGAACCTTTCAGAGTGGAGACACAGCTAGAAGTGGGGGTCACTTCAAGCAGAGTTAACATTCTTGAACTTTAGGTGGAAACTTCGATGGATTTGCAGTTACATTGTTTGAACAGAACACTTTGATACATTGGGCAGGAACATCAAGGAGCACAAATCATTACATTTCTTGAACAGAACGTTTTCTGGCAAAAACCTGGTGTGGGGGCAAGGGCAATGGCCTGCCGTGTTGCAAATTACCGCTTTATCCAAGGAAATGGGTGGTGACTTTCTGGAGGTCCCCTGGCTGTTGTTAGGCTGGATCAGAACAGACCCCCTCGTAAGGACGCTGGGATCCTGGACACTGCTCTGCAGCAGTGGGCTGGTCACCTGGGAGCTGGGGGCTTTTGTCTGTTGCCAGGTGCGTGGAGTTCCAGCAAAAGCAGATATGGAGCTGGGCGTGCAGGGGTGCCCAGCAGGGCTGCTGGGAGGGAGTGTGGAGGAAAGGCAGACAGGAAGGAGGTGGGGCGGGGCTGTCTGCCAGGCTCCTCTGCCCCTTCTCTGGCCTCCGGGTGCCTCTCCAGCCACCTTGGCCCTTAGAGACCAGCTTGCCTCTTGGACTTTGGCCAGCCCTGTCCTAAAACCCAGGAAGCTCTGCCAAGGCCAGGGGACTCCTCCTCCCTCACTCATGTAGCTGGGAGGGATGCTTCTTTCCGCCCAGCTTCAGAACAGGGTCTGCGGGCTGGGTAAAGGCACAGAGCAATGCAGATGGGCAGGGCCTTGGGGGGGCCTGGTCTCCAAGCAGACCTCCTTCAGGTTCCCGCTGGCCCGCCCCACCAGGCTGCCCTCTGAACTTTTATTGGTGCTGAGTTTCCATCCTGACCTGTGTGACTGCCCCCAGCATCCCTCCAGGATGGTGCTGGCGCCCCTGCAACAGTTGCACCTTATAAACCACTGCTGTGACCGGCTGGGTGCCTCTGGGAGGCCGTGCTTGGTCCCTGGTAACCCAGAGTAAATAACTCAGCCATGTTTCCTCGCACATTTTCAGTTTGCCCTCGGTCTCAGAAGAAATAAAACAACTTACTTAATGGTGCCCTTTAATCTTTTGCAGCAGTGGCTTTCTTTACAAGGTGTTACACAGAGTTTGTGCAAAGCCAAACCTTGCAATGGGGTCAGTGTTCCCGACAGGTGTTGGGTGGGCTGGGGAGGGGAGGGGCTTACTCTCAACATAGTGCCCATTCACGGCAGGGTGGCTGCTCCAGGCTGTCCTCTCCCTAGCGCCACCAGAATCCAGACCACAGGCAAACCAGGCTAGGACCCGTGTCTGGGGACAGTTCACCCAGAAAAATATCTCTGCTCTCCAACATTGATCTCTCTCCCCACATCAGCTTCTCCCACCCACCTCAGTGCCACGCACAGTGCTGGAGGCCGTCCTGAGCCACCTTCCTATAGGCTTGTAATAGCCAGAAAAGGCAAGAATCGCTCCCGCCAGGCAACCACAAAAAGTCTCAAGAGAAGGACTCTGATTGGGTCACATGTTCTTTGCTGGGCCAATCAGCTGTGACTGTGAGGGTGGAGTCAAGAAAGAATATGGCTGCGCCCACTAGAAAGTGGAGGAGGAGAGAAGTGGATTCTCTCAGGAGGTGGGGCATGTTAGGAGAGGAGGGGCCTGGGTCTCAATGACTGACGCTCTTGTCCCTGGTCCTGATGGGTGAGTCATGCTGTGGCTATATGTGGCTTTCTGATATTTGTTTCCGTCCATATACTTTGCCCATAGCACCTGAGCCTTGAAGGACTGGAACTCTGAAACATTTTTCCTAAGTTTGCTGCTAATGAATTGGGTGCTAAAGATGTGTCTGTTTAGATGTTTATCCTGTGTAGTGGGGAAAATTCATGTGTTTTCCGGCAGAGGCATTAACGTGCAGGATTGGAGGTTTTTCCCAGACCCAGCAGAGGTAAACTTTATTGCTTTTCTAAAGCCCCAGGACACTGAACTCTGACACACATCTGGCCCTATGGGTTTCAGATAAGGGACCACAGGCCTGGTATCCATGTGCTGCAAACCTCGCACAGGGTGAAAATGGACCAGTTCACCGGGAGCTCTGGGACATTGGTGCAATAGGCAGAGAGGGCAGGAGTGCATCCGTCCAGCTTTGAGCATTACGTGCTTAGGTTAAGTCTTCACAGAACCCCTCTGAGCCTTGGGTCACCACCACTCCACTTTACAGATGGGAAAGCGGAGGCAGGGAGAGTTACCTCTGTCAGTAACCTGTCCAGGTCCCCAAGGTTAGGCGGCAGTATCTCCACAAGTGGATGACTCAGAACAAAGCACTGCTCTCTCCATGCAGTGCCAGTTGTCTGCTGTGCCACCCTGCGCTGCGCTGGTTTGTTTTGACTTCTTTTCAAGACCGCATGGGGATAGCTAGCATTTAACGTGCTATCACTGGTCTGATCACTTTATACCTACTGTCCTGTCCCCGTGAGGTGAGGCTCTTGACATTGCCATTTAACAACAGGGAAACTGAGGCACAGAGTGGGAGCTAGCTTGCCCCAGGATCACAAGCACAGGGCTCAGAAACTATGATTAGCTCGCCCTGGGTCTCTGAGCTCGTCCCCGTGCCGGGTTGCCAAGGTGCTGGAGGAGGCACCTGTGTAATGAGACCTCTTTTCTCTTATTCTCCAGGTGACTCATTTCCCAAGCACTTTTTCAGGGAAAGAAGAGAAGAGAAGATGCCATGCCCTGCTACGGGGGAAAGGGCACCCTGACAGTGTGGGCAGGTGTCACCTCCCGGCCTTCTGGGGGCCCAGAAGCAAGGAGGGGGCTGAGCAGGGCTTCCTGGATGCAGCGGCCGGCACTGCTCACGGAGAGATACTGGCTGGTGCTGACGGGGCCTGGGCGCGAGGCTCAGCGCAGTTCAGGAGTAAACCGGAGGTGCCACCTCCACAAGAGCAGAGAGGAGAGGTGAGGGCAGGGGCCCATGGCGGGCGAGGCAGGCTTGCCCCAAGCCCCAGCTGACCCCGGGCAGCCTCCTGACCCAACCACTGTTTTCAGGGTGCACAGAGGACAGAGTAGGTGAAAGGGCGTCTGGATGAGGCGGCCAGCCGGAGACGCCATGTTGTTGCTCTCTGTCCAGGTGTGCTTGCGTCAGAAACACAGAGACTCGTGCATGCATGCGTATGGCTATGTAGGAAGACAGGGCAAGATGGTGAATAGTCCATATGACAGAAGGACTGACAAATTGTCAATCCATTGTAATGCGACTCTGAATTCAAATGAAGATTTGAACAAACTGTCCAAAAAATCATTTATAATATTAAAAGGAATTGGGAATCAGAACACTGACTTGATACTGGCAGTTTTAAAGAAATTTGTATAGCTGAGTGAAGAGGCGTATGCCTTTAATCACAACTGCTTAGGAGGCTGAGGCAGGAGGATCACAAGTTAAGGCCAGCCTGGGCAACTTAGCCAGACACTTTCAAAATATTGTAATAATGAAAAGAGTGCTGGTGATGTAGCTCAGCAGTAGAGTGCTTTCCTAGCAAGTGTGAGGCCATGGATTCAATCCCCAAGGACCTCAGAAAAGCAAAATGGATAATTGTTATCTTTAGTTGTGAGGCTACTGCTGTCACCTGGGAAGTGGGGTGGAGACAAGCTTGGACAGGAGCTGATCGTGTCTGGATTTGGAAGTTGGAGCCCAGCACGTCGGGGTTCCGCTGCTGTCTCTGTTGTGGCACATAACTGACTTTTTCCGTAACAGAAGGCAGTGGGGGAAGGCGTGTACTTGCCCCAAGCGATACCCGCTCTTGGAGACAGCCCAGGCAATTGGAATGTGAAGTAAAACATAAAGACTTGTCATTCTTTGGATTGTCCCCCACCCAGGTAACCGCTGGCTTAGTGTTTGATGTTTGATGTTTCCAGTGTCTTAAGTAAGCAGTCCCATACACTTACACTTCTTTACACAAATAGGATTGTGCTCTTGACTCCTGGCTTCCCTCAGCATGTGTCATGGCCAGTGATTTCTGTCACAACTCCATTTCTTCCTACTTCACAGTGCTCCTTTGCGTGCATGTGCTGTGTTTATCTCAGATTCCCTTGGGGTAAGCTTTTAGGTTGAGCTGAGTCTTTCACCATGGCCTGTTTGCTTCGGTGGATGTCCCTACACCTGCACCGTGGCTCAGTGTATGGCTGTGTGGGCCAAATGCAGCAGCAGAAGAAGAGTCACTGGGCTAGAAGGGCTCCTCCCCACGCCCC